AGCATGGAACATCTCCTGAGTGAGATTAAGAAAAACAACAATCCACTGTTATTTGCGATTTTAAAAATGAACAAGGTGACATACTTTTCAAACTTGCCAAAAGTTTTGATTTCCATGGTATCTCCATTGCTGCAAGTGAAGGCCACTCCAATCCTGAGAGAGAAAAAATAAAACAAACCCCAGCAATTCATTCAGTTATCCATCCATTCTCTCTGTACTTCGAACAAATGGAATTTAAGTCTAAATGACTGCTTTCTGTCTTTATTTGAAATTTACACAGCATTAGAAACTTTTTTAAAACAGAAAAAACAAAACACTGTAAGCACTGAACTCTACTGTCTGGACTTCCAGTTTCATAGGGTGTTCCTGCAAAACAGGATCCTGAATCAATGGGTGGATTTACTTTAAGGTACAAATTATAATTTACAATGGATGATGACACAGACAGCACAGACAGGCAGTCATTCCGGTTATGCTTCCTTTAAGCCCACTTGAAGTCTGCCTGACCGGCGCATGTGCAATTGATGCACTGCAGTTCTCTTTCACACACATATCACACAGCTCTCATAAAAATGGGCAGAAACACACATATCCAAACAGAGCCTTATGCTAAACGTCCAGCGATGAACTTAACGTCAGTCCGACCCAAGTAGACCTTAAAACACTCGTGGACAAGCAAACCATAACTTGGTCCTAAACAGCTACATGCAGAAATGATCAATTTATCAAGGTTTTCTTGTAGATCTAGAGGTGGTGTTTTGATTCCAGCTTCTTTAGCTGCACAATACTGCGTTTGCCCTTTCAGAACATATTCCCACAGTGGTCAGCTTGGGTTTTTGAATCGCTTCCTGGATATTGAATTCCTGCCCATATAGTATTATTGCAACACTGAAAGGAACAAGTGGTCAGCAGCCCAACCTCAGTGTCCCCCCCTCCCCCCCAAATTTCCCTTTGCAGCTAACACAATCAGTACAGCATGAATCATGTCAAAGCAAGGATTCTTATACACTTTCATTTATATAGCATATTTCCAGTTCTCAGCACTTTAGACTGCACCTATTCTACATCACATCCACAGCAAATTTAGGATATCACCAATTAACCTAACATGCATGTCACTGGTATCTGGAGGAAAGTGACACTGCCACAGGGAAAATGTGTTTACTCCACACAAAAGGACCCCAAGCTGGGATTTGAACTAGGTACCTTGCTGTGAGTTGCCAGTGCCAATCACTGACCCATCTATAAAGGCACAGACAAAACAAAACTCATCTTTAAAGTTTAAAGAAGACTAAGAAAGATTTGAGGAATCCTTAAATTAATAAAGACCTTTAAGAAGTTTTGTTGTGGCATTACTGGGATGCAGACTACAATTTACACATTTCCTGTGTCGCAACCTCTGCAGTCCGGTGTAACCACCAGCTCTTAATGTCTAACATCACAACGCAAAAAACAGTCTGTCTTTTGTGCATAAATTTTAACCTGTGAACCTGAAACTTGCAGAAGAGGAAGCTCAAGTGTCATCTTACCTTTTTGTTGCCTCTACTAAAGCTTTCTCATCCGGTGAAGAGGCGTAGTACTCCATGGAATTGGAAGAGAACCCGTTGGCATGGGAGAATGGGTCTCCTCCCACAGCCAGGCAGTCTGACTGGTCATAGCTGATCTGAACTGTGTGACAAAGTGACACTGCCTTGAGAAATAACAATTCGTCACCCATCTGGAAGGAAAGATGAGACATAATTTTTTATTTTCTCTCTCTCTCTTTTCTTGATGGATACAAACACAGCATGTTATTAAAAAAAACAGAAAAAGAAAAGAACCAAGCCTGCAATATATATATATGCAATACCAGGGGAGGCATAGAACCATCTGGTGAGTCGTCTGTCATTCCCTCTGGTAAAAGTTTGCCATTAACTTCCCGGTACTTGGTTCCATTAATCGAACACTCGCGGAACTGCATTTCATTTTCTGTTAGTGTGCCTGTCTTATCAGTAAACACATATTCCACCTGAAAAACAGAAACACACAGATGCTCACAGAAGTACACTAACCATTAAAGTCGGCACAGTTGTATGCTGTATACTGAATTTGTACATAAATGGAATTCACCGATTCAAACCGGTTCATATTTCCAAATTACTAAAAATACATGATATTTCATATAAATGTAAAATATTTTACAGTATATGCTATTTTTATATACAAGACTAAAACTCAGATGATACAGCAGGATATCCATGCATATCCATGTTCAGGGTGTGCTTTGTAATATGCATACATAGGTATCTTCATTCCTCTTTCATACCTGTCCCAACTCTTCATTGAGGTCAGAGGTATTGACCTGAGCTTTCTGGTCACTTTCCTCATGGTAAAGGTCCAAATCCCAGCCAATGAAAAAAGAGCCAAGGAACTTTTGCATCTCCACAGTAACGTAGAGCGAGATAGGGATGATGAAGTTATAGAGCACCAGAAAAGCCAAAAAGTCTGAGATGAACTTTAAGATCTGAAAGAACATGACAGATTCTTTTTTATTTAAAGAGAGGACAAGAGAGCAGTACAATGAAAAGTATAAAGTAAATTTATATACGTGCAAGTCGTTTGCACTGCTGCAAGAAAGAGAAATTATA